AGTTCCTGGCAGAGCACAAGCTGCTGGGGCAGGTGAAGAACGTGGCCAAGACAGCGAACAAGGAGCAGCTGATTGCAGCTTACACACAGCTCTTCCACACACAGGTGAGGCCTGCGGGTGGCATGGGGCTGGGGGTGCAGGGCTGGGGGCTGATGGATGTGTCTCTGCCTCCCACAGCGGTTCAAGGGCACGGATGGTGTGGAGAAGGCTGTGGAGAAGGCGAAGCCAGCAAAGGCTGAGGAGAACAAGGGGAAGGCAGTGAAACCTGAGGAGGCTGTGGAGGAGGTTTGTGACACCCCACCATGTGTTGTTTGTGTGGAAAAGCAAATTAACTGGGTCCTCTGTGCCAGGGGAGGAGTAGGTTGGATGTTAGGCAAAGGTTCTTCCCCCAGAGGGTGTTTGGGCACTGAATAGCTCCCCAGGGCAGTGGGCACAGCCCCAAGCCTGACAGAGCTCAAGGAGTGTTTGACTAGTACTCTCAGGCACAGGGTGGGTTGCTAGGGTGTCTGTGCAGGGCAGGAATTGGACTCTAATCCTTGTGAGTCTCCAGCTCAGGACATTCCATGATTCCAGGTCTCCAAAAACCAGGTTCCAGCAAGAGGTCAGGTATTTGTACCATGCCTTGACCTTAATCTGCTGCATTTCTCCCAAATACTCCAGCCCTGCAGTAACACATGACACAGCATCACTAACACTGTGTCTGTCTTGCTGCCTTGAACTGAGTGCTTGTTCCATCTTGGTTGGTCTGAGACTATTTATCCCACCAGTCATAACTCTCTTTTTATACCCGCAGGGGCCACCAAAGTACACAAAATCCATCTTAAAGAAGGGAGATAAAACCAACTTCCCCAAGAAAGGAGACACTGTGCATTGCTGGTACACGGGAAAGCTGCAGGATGGAACAGTCTTTGATACCAATATTCAATCAAGTAAGGTTATAGATATGTGGATACAGGTAGATATGGGTATATAGTTAAACTCTAGGCAGATTTACGCAGGGGTTTGCCTCTGGAAGGTGTCCCTGGAGGGATTCCTGACTAACTGTTTTGCTAGTGTGTTGTTTTGCTGCTCCTGCATCCTGATTTTCCATGAGGTAATGCAGGACAGTATTTTAGGACTGGCTGGTGTCAAGTGACACTGCTGCATCCTGCCAGCCCTCACACTTGCCATTCCCTCCAGGCCTGGGAATGTGAAATGCAGGGACTTAATCCATGCTGAAACATCTCTGGAGGGAGGCAGGATGGTTCCTGCTCTGGGAGCTTCCCCTTCCTGCAGAAACTTATTGCAGTGCTCTGAGTGTCTTTGAATAAACACATCTTGGTGTGATTCTGTTATACATCCATAAACATGGAGGCACTGGAATGAGAGGCATCTGAGTTCTCTGGTGTGCAACATTCCTGCAGGGACTCTGCTTGGGGTTTGTGTGACAGAGCAGAGGGTTTGGTGTGAGATTGTGCCACACTGGAAGGACTTTTCCAGCAGTGTCCCACACTCAGAAGAGCATTCCAGAGTCACTGGGTTACAGCCTGCATCTCACAGGACTTGTGTGAGGTGTGTGTTCCCTAGGGACTATTTTTGCTTCCTTTATGGCCTGTACTGTCAGCTTTAGCCATCAGAAATGAGTCTTTGGGGTTTGAAGATGCTTATCAGCTCCTGGTGCAGCTTGAACATTTGGTTATGTTTTAGTGCACAGCACTATGTTTCCCCATTAAAATCCTAGAGTGGCTAAAAGAACGAAGGCTAAGAAAGATAGTTCTGTAAAAGGTGATTGTGCTGGCAGTTTCAGGCAGAAGTGTGGGGTGTGCTGGTGTGGTGCTAAAGCAAATCAACACAAACTCTCTCTCAGGTTCCAAGAAGAAAAAAGCAGCCAAGCCCTTGAGTTTCAAAGTTGGGGTAGGAAAAGTGATCCGAGGGGTAAGTAAACCACTGACTTTCTCAGTCCCTGAACAGTTCCACTCTGTGTATTTATCACCAGGTGCAAGTTCTGAGCTGCTCTTGTGTTTCTGGTGGATGAAAAGGCAAATGGCAAGAGTTTACATGGGCAGCATGTAGTATTTATTGTCAGTGTCATTCACCTCCTTCGGTGGTGCATGGAAAACACTCTGTTCCCTGGGATAAGCACAGCCTCTTGCCCAGGTCAGTCTCATGCAAGTTGTGTTCCAGGCCAGGCTGGATGGGGCTTGGAGCAACCTGGGCTGGTGGAAGGTGTCCCTGCCCAGGGCAGGGGGTGGGACTGGGTGGGCTTTAAGGTCGTTCCAACCCAAACCAGTCTGGGATTCTGTGATCCTACAGAATGGCAGGGAGAGACTGTGCTTCACAGTGTACCCTTGGCACTGTGTGGTGTGCTGCTGGGAAGGGCCTGCTGGAACTGGGAATGTTGCCTTGGAATCAAGGGTGTTACCATTGCTGCACTGGTGCCATCACAGCACGGGAGCAGGGAACATCACCCCATCAGCAGTGTTCCACAAGGGAAAGGGCCTCACAGCACACCTGCAATGGTGTGGCTATTCCAGGAGCAAAGAGGAAGAGCTATGGAATGTTGTTAGGTCCTGCTGCACTGAGAGCTGTGGTGTGTGTCGTTGCAGTGGGATGAAGCTCTGCTCACCATGAGCAAAGGGGAGAAGGCTCAGCTGGAGATTGAACCTGAGTGGGCCTATGGCAAGAAGGGACAGCCTGATGCCAAGTATCCTTCCATCACAGACTCCTCAGGGAGCTTGGGAATGCTGGGTGGGATAGAGTGCTTTAATGGGCAGGGATATCACGGAGGACAGTTCACTCTTACAGCAGGCTCAGGGTAATGTAAGAGAATTCAGGGCACTTGTGGGGTGGGTGGGATTGTCCTTTTGTTTTGACTTGCTGCTGTTTGCCACCTGCATTTTTATTCCAGCTGCTTCCAGACACTTGTTCCTGCAGCACCAGTGGGGAGACTCAACCACTGTAGTAGGAAGGCAGGAGGGAAGTTATCTGCAGCAACTGCCAGGAGAACAGTTGGATCCAGGCTGGAACTAGTTCTGGGATACACCTGAAATACAGGATGATGATCCTGCGGTGTCTTACATTTCTTTTTCTCGGTGCTCAAAGGGGAAGGGATGGTTCTCCCTTACACAAATCCTGGTTCTCTCCTGCCCAAGTCCTGTAATCCAAGGCACTGCTTGGACACTGTTGTCCCTCTGTGGCACAGCAGGACAGTGTAACCTTCCCCAGTGACTCCCAGAACTGGAGCCAAGGCTTGGGCAGCTCGGGTGAGACTGGGCTGCCTGTTCAGAGGAGTGGGAATAAGGGGCAGAGTGTGCTAATGGAGGAGTATCCACGGAGCTGGCCCCTCCTGACAGCTCATGCTGGGCAGCAGCTGTGGCTCTGTGTTGATCCAAGATGTCCAAACAGGTCAGTGACGCAGCAGAGCAGCTGGCAGATCCCTGCCTTGGGAGGGACATGCTAACTCAGGGTGTCTGGGGTCTTTTTAAGCTTCCTTAACATGTGCCACCAGGATTCCACCCAATGCAAAGCTGTTCTTTGAAGTGGAGCTCGTGGATATTGAATGAAGAATTTCCTTTGCTGCTGGAACCCACTGACACTGGAGAAAGCTTCTGGCTGCAGCTGCTGCTGTAACTCCTGGATGCAGTTCCAGCCGTGGCCTTGTATGGAATGCAGTGTTGTCCTGCCCCAACTGCTGTACAGTGACATCCCAACCACTAAAGAAACCACAGTTTGTACATGCAAGTGATGTCCCTTTGTGTCTGTGCTTACGCCTCCTCCCGGGCCTGGGGGAGGTTGCAGAGCCCCAGGCAGAAGGGAATTATAAATTACACCCACAGTGAGCAGCAGGTACCTCCCCACCTACCTCAGGGCTCCCACAGGGCCTTTCCCTTCCAGCTCTGCCTCCTGTGGAGCTGAATTCCATAGAATTCCCACTCATTTTCTCTTTGAAGGTATTTGATGCCACCCCCTGCTCAGAGCTCCATGGGCATCCATCCCTGTGCCACAACCCTTGAACACCACCAGTGCTGAGCTCTAGAGTTGTTCCTCTTAGCTCAAATGAGGCAATCCAAGAAAGGTCAGAGGAGTACTGAATTCCTTGCTTTTATTAAAAAAGTGGGAATGATCACTTTGATCAAAATGAAAAAGTTCTGCTCACACTGTGTACATGAAAAACTCCAAATACAAAAATCATCCCAAACACACTTTGTGCTTCTTAAAAAAGAACTCGGGGTCGATTTGCACCTCAGGGTCTGACCCCACACAGGCTGGAAAACTCAGGGCACAGCTTCCCAGGGTTGCTAGCTCTGGAGTTTCCATCCCAACACAGAGCAGTGTGGGCATGGAAAACATGTGACAGAGCATGTGGTGACAGCTGGGCTGGGGAGCAGGGTCAAAGCCAAACCCCAGAGCTGTGCCCATTCCATCTATGGAATCAGCATGAGCCTGACAATATCCTTCAGGAGCTCCATAAATTAATGAGGGAATTACAAAACCGCAGTTATGGTGGATGAGCATTGGACAAGAGACCATGGATCAGCTACCAGCACACACATCCTGTGTCAAACATATCCTGGGAGCAGCAGCTCCTTCACATGCAGAGGGCCAGAAGCAGGTGGCACAACAGTTCTTTCACATCCCAAGCTTAGAAAAATAGATATTTGTTTTATTCCATCTTTGTTGAAGCTGCAGCACAGGGAACTCCACTCTGGATCAAGTGTGGTAATACTGGCCATAATTCCAGGCATTCTGATAGTTGTACTGCAAGCAAACACATGAGGGTTATATCAGTCAGGGCACCCACACGAATCCTGAGGCAGCACTGACCATCCCTGACAGCTCCCATGGGTGCTTAGCAGCACAACACCCCTGGGACAGCAGGAACAAGTGCCCCATTCCCTTGAGAAGTGCTTGTCTGCTTCCCTGCGCAGACTGAAAGGCAGGCAATGATGGTGGTACTGTGTCAGCCACTGTACAGGGATCTGCACCAACATTCATACAACCAAAGTATGGAAGGGACTCCCAGGGATCATCAGTCCAACTCCACAACACCCCAACAATGCACCCTGTGCCTGACAGCATTGATCAAACACTCCTTGAGCTCTGTCAGCCTTGGGGCTGTGACCACTGCCCTGGGGAGCTGTTCCAGTGCCCAAACACCTCTGGGGAAAAAACCTTGTCCTGATATCCATCCTAACCCAAGTCTACTATTCCTGTGGCTCCATGTGTGAAAACTTGGGGCATTAATTTTCCTGGCCTAGGGCTGGATGAGGTTCCTCTCACTGCCTGACTTTGAGAATATCACCTGGCCTGGATACAGGCAATCCCCAACAAGTCACCCAGAGGCTGTGCCCAGCTGCATCCCCACTATCCTGGCTCTGGGAGCGCTGCAGAGTCTGAACAAGAGTTTTCATTAAACCACTTCCACAAAACTCATGGATTTAACAGCCATGTGGATGTGGCACTTGTGGACATGGTTAGTGGTGGCCTTGGCAGTGCTGGGGAATGGCTGGACTCAGTGGTCTGAGAGGGCTTTTTAACCTCAATGATTCTATTCAAATCCAAAATAAACTGTCATGGAGGAACAGCCCCCAAGGACAAGCTGATTTTGCAGGTGCTATGCAGAAGCCATTCCAAGACATTGCATGAACTACAGACTGGAGACTGGAAGTACCCAAGCTCATTGGCAGCACAAGGCCACTCCTGGGCAAACCATTCCACACACAGCAGGTCTGTTGCCCTCACTCAGTCACATCCCTGTGTGAGAGCACAGCCACCACACTGCTCCTTGCTCTCACCCAGTCACCTTCCTGCCTGATCTATTCCCTCACCCAGTCACATCCCTGTGTGAGAGCACAGCCACCACACTGCTCTATTCCCTCACCCAGTCACATCCCTGTGTGAGAGCACAGCCACCACACTGCTCTATTCCCTCACCCAGTCACATCCCTGTGTGAGAGCACAGCCACCACACTGCTCTATTCCCTCACCCAGTCACATCCCTGTGTGAGAGCACAGCCACCACACTGCTCCTTGCTCCGCACACATGCTCTTTACACTTGGGTAATGGGTCAGAGAGGGATCAATAAAGCAGGAGCTGAGCTTTCCCTCCAGGCTCTCCCTGCCAGTGGGCACAGCCATGGCTGCAGGCAGTGGCACAGCATACCTGGTACCAGGCGTTGTAGTTGTATGCAGCCTGGTTGACCTGCATGTCCCCGTCCATCATCTGTGCCGACGCCAAGCTCGGGTCATCGCTCAGCATCTTCTTCTCGTCCGGCTCCTCCGACCTGGGTGGGAACAGATGCTCTGCTTGGCATCTTGGGCTCAGCTCTGGCCATGGCTTTGTGTGACAAACCTGAGCTCAGGTGAAATAGTATTTTCCCACTGGGTGCCCAGGAGTGGTTAATAGAATTTGGCTTAGGGAAGGGCAGTAGTGCTGTGCTCCAGAACACAGTGGGGTTAAATTCTGCTGGTGCCCAAACTGAGGCAGCAAAACCATGTTTGTGCTTAAAGACTGAGTTATTTTCCTAGCACTGCTGAGCTTTTCCAAAGAAGTTCCCAAACATGGAAGCAGCAGCTCTGGTTAGTGCACACTTTGACTACAAGGGAGTGGTTTTGTTCTTGCATCAGCAGGTTTAAAGCTGAACAATACCTGTATATACACCCATAGACTAAAGAACCTCTAGTCCCTGGGGATGTTCACTCACAGCTTTAGACCCTGCCATGTGCTGTGTCTGTGCTGCAGCTCTGTCTGTGCCCCAGCCCTGCCCACAGCCCTTACCCGTTCTCCGCGCGGCGCTTCAGCGACTCCTGCTCCTTCAGCAGCGCCTGGTGCTCGTCATAGGCATCCAGGAGCCTGAGGGACACAACAGGAGTCAAGCCTTGCTCAACACCCCGATGCAAACACCCTGAACACTGAGCAGCCCTTTCAATGGTCTGCTTGGAATGGTAAAAACACAACATTCTAACCCAAATGAAACTGAACACACTTTAACGACTGATCCTCCACAAGATGGGAGAGCAAATAAGCTTCAGCTCGATTCCACACCACCTCCAATTCCCAACTTGCTCAATTTTCCTCACACTTGATGCAGTTTTCATAATGTTCCTTTATAAAGAAGTTTTCTAGAAGCTATTTATGATTCAGCTGATGCTGCAGCACTGAGACTGAGGGATCAATGTTTAAATACTGGAAAATGATTACAATCCCACAGTAGCACCTACAGCCTTTTCCCAGTCAGCATGGGAAGAACAAGTGTGTTTAATGCAGCACGAAAGAATCCGTGCTGCAACTCCCACAAATACTGAGATACACTTTCATCTGCTGCATTTAGATTTCACAAAACACCTGCTGCTTCTGTCACTATGCTCTTGGTGAAAAATACTTATTCTCTGCTCTGGTGTTACTTGGGAACTGTGAACTTCATTGTGTTTGGTGTCTCAGATTCCAAACCTGCCAGGCCTGGCTGCCAGCCACAGGCAGCATGATTTAAGGACAGATGTTAAAAAACATACAAAGGAGAAAAACTAACTCCTGATTAGTCCTTCCAGTTATTTAGCTGTGAAGTTAAATATTACAACAGAGAATTAAGAGGAAAGAAGTCTATGTGGTATTGAATTTAAAGCTTGCATTCTCAGTGTGCCTCCCACATCTCTGTACAGTCATTACAGTGCTGAACACAGACAAATCCAATCACTGCAGTTTGGAAAGCTTAAGCAGCAGCTCCCAGGTACAGAGTCTCAACTGACACCTGTGTGGTATGTCACATCCTCTTTGGGGAGCACCTGACTGCACCGGGCTGAATAAAGGGAACTGCAGCAAAGGTTTGCTCCAGGAAGTGTTAGGCATTTCAGATAAAAAGGGATCATTTTCTGAAAGGAGAGTTCTATTTAAAAATCTATCCCTAGTTAAAAACCTATTCCTGTTTAAAATCTATTTCTATGGACATATCCATTCCTGTTTACAAATCAAACCCAGCAAGTTGGATCAGAAAAGCAGCTGCTCCTTAGCAAGGAGCTGATGGCCCAAAGGAAACAGCTGACCAGCTGCACTAACCCCGCTCCTTCCCAGCTCCTACTAGCACTCTCTCAGTGACCCTAATCTGGCCACATCTTACTTGTTTACATCAGACCCAAAATCTTCCAGGAATTCCACTTTTCTCTGGGAGAAGGTGATCCTCATTTTGATGGACAAAGCTCCATGGACAGCCTTGTCAAAGCAGCTCAGGATGTTCTCCTCGTTCTGCTTGAGGTCACCACTGTACTCCATCTCCAGCAGGTTCAGGTACAGTTTGGTGTTCTCCTGTGCAAAACATGTGTTAGAAGGTGCAGCCCTGTCCCAGCAGGTGTTTAATGTGTGTTACAGACACACACCAGAACATTCACACCACAAATTGGCACTAGAACAGCCAATAGACTCTGTAATTCTATGAAATACATTTTTTCTCCACCCTGGGCTGGTTTGTTTCACATAGACCAGCAGTGAGCAGCACTATCCACCCAGGAGCTGCTCTTTGCTGGCAGTATCTGCACTGCTACATCTTCCTGCACTTATTCAAACCACACACAAGTAGTGCCCACACCAATCTTGTGAGACATGGATGCACCAATAATATGTAAGACTAAAAAGGACAATGAAGGTAGGAAGCACCTTGTGCTTCTGATGGGGAGAAAAGGAATGCAAACTCCAGACGTGCAAGCTGGGAACTTGGCAACATCAGTTTAGAGGGACTGTTGTCTCCATG